GGCTCCTCTCCACCCCAGTAACGCTCTTACAGCAGCACTTTTCGTCCTTACAATGGGCTTGAAAGTCTTGTTGCATGATACAGGATGCAAGGTGGTGATGATACAGCAAAAGAAAAACTGTTTGATGTTTAAATTGCAGACATCAAAGTCATGAAAGGGCATATGGCCAGCATAAAATGTTCCTGAAGTGAGACAAGAAGCTGGGTGTAATCAGTCTATTCTCTAGCCATTATTTGACTGAGAAGTAAATTGGCCCATTTCTCCTTGGAAAGACTAGGAAATGCAGAAAAGCAGGAGCTGTGTCTGCTTCTGAAACCTTCACATTTGAGTATGGAAGCCATAGCTAAGAGAACAAATAAATAAAAGTGCAGAATTAAGGTACTGTGCATGTGCACAAGTAAACAACCATACACAAACAGGATCTTCTTTAGAGCATCATATATCAAATCATGCATCAAATCTTTTATTTTTCTAATTTTATATATAACCCTTAACTGGACTTTTCTTCTGTCTTCCCCTACTTTGTCAGAATCACAGAGCTAAAATAACCTTTCTGCCTGTGTAGTTTTGGATTAAGCATACCTCCCCAAGTGTATCTGGAGAAATTTGTCATAGCTTCATGAATCCCTGAATTAGCAGAGGAAAATGTTCCCAACCTGTGCCAGAATGAACACCAGGCTTTTAAGAAACGAAGCAAGTGATTCATTCTTCCAGATAATTTCTACTGAGCATGGTCTCATTAAAAATGATACGGTGACAAACTAATGATTATTATTTCGGTTGCTCCTCCTCTCGTGATGGTATCTAGTTAAAAGTGAGCGCTGAAAAGGAAAAGCACATTATGATTTTTTGAATATATTCAGACACATTAGAGATGTAGGTTTGTATTTATATATGCGCATGGTCTTCATATGTATATATAGAGAGCCAGTACTGGGCTGTACTGAAAAGAAACTGAAGCCATACATGTCTACTGCTGTTCTTGGAGGAATTGTTGTTTTCTGAAATAATTAACTTCAGTATAATACAAAGAAAATATAGCAAGAAATTAATTCACTGTTACTTGCTGTTTTATTTAGAAAAATTGGAACACTGATCTGAAAAAAACTCAAACAACCCCCTAACATTTAAAGCAACAGAAAAAAGCATTGAAAATCAGTGTTTTGGCACAAAAATCTACTAGTGGATAACATGATTTAAGGCTAGGCTGCTGTACTGTTGTTATTATAGATGTATAATTCAGAAGTTACTAAGCTGTATAGTATCAGGCTGGACAATATATCTTCTGAACCTTGGCTGAATCAAAAGGCAGGCCATTATCAGTGTGGTTCTCAGCACGGCAGTCATACAACCAGACTCTAGGTACAGCACATGGACCGAGGGCCCAGTGGGGCTGCTGTTGCTTGGCAGTGCACCGGCAAGTAACCAGGCATACTTTGTTCCCTTTCATGTAAGGCCTATTGCAAAGTAAAAGTCAATAATATATGAGTGGCCAACAGTTCAAGGATGCATCTCATGGTCAGGTGATACACTGACCATGTTATTGTTTTAAAATCTCAAATGCATGAGGTTAAAATTGACATTCTGTGCTTCAGTACTACAGGCATAGCCCCACAAAACAAACACCAAGATAACCAAATGTCATGGTTTAAGCTCAGCCGGTAACCCAGAACCACACAGCCGCTCGCTCACTCCCCACCTTCTCCTTCCCCCCTCTCCCGGAGGGATGGGGAGGAGAATCGGAAGAATGTAACTCCCACGGGTTGAGATAACAGCGCTCCAGTAACTAAGGTATAATACAAACCACTACTGCTACCAATAATAATGATAAGGGAAATAACAGGGGAAAAGGAACAATTGCTCACCCCCCGCCGACCGATACCCAGCCTGACCCGAGCAGTGATCTGGGCCTTCTGAGTAACTCCCCCCAGTTTATATACTGGGCATGACGTGCTGTGGTATGGAATACCCCTTTGGCCAGTTTGGGTCAGGTGTCCTGTCTCTGCTTCCTCCTGGCTCCCCCTCCTCCCTGGCAGAGCATGAGACTCAGAAAGTCCTTGGTTGGAGTAAACATTACTGAGCAACAACTAAAAACATCGGTGTTATCAGCATTGTTCCCAGGCTGAAAGTCAAAACCACAGCACTGCGCCAGCTACTAAGGAGGAGAAAAAATGACTGCTGTAGCTGAACCCAGGACACCAAACAGCAAGGAGAAAAAGAATAGCTTTTTGACCCAACTGAAGTCAAAATAAACCCAAAGTCTACTGAAATAATTCAGGAAATTGAAAGCTTTGGTTAACTTTGTTAAGAGAACAGTTGTAAATGAACAAGTAAAAAAATCATAGAATGGTTTGGGTTGGAAGGGACCTTAAAAATTACCTAGATCCATCCCCCTGCCATGGGCAGGGGCTCCTTCTACAAAATCTAGAGAAACATTTTACTATACTTTTTTTAATTCCAGGATTTTATGATCTTTCTTCTTGTTCCTCCTCCAAACAAATCAGTGAATCAAAAAATTCCATACACATCTGAACTAATACCAAGTGGACCAGTAAACTAACAGTTGGAGCGGATGCTTCGGTGCACAGATTAACTGGAGATGTTGGTGTCTCACAAGAAAGCTGCTAGTACAGCTCCAAGCTAACCTAAATGATTCCTGGGCAATCTTTTCCCTACTTCTCAAGTGTGAATTCCTAAATCTGCAAGTTTAGCTTCTTCTAAGAAGACTTGCCAATGATCTTTTTGTTTGTTTGCTTTTCCTCAGTGTTTTAAACAATTGCATTTTCAGTTAAATTGTCTTCACAGGTTGGTATTATTTATCACCCATTCTTGGTTTCCTTTGGATCTGTCATTGATTTTAGCAGCTGCACCATCCCAGTGCTTGGAATGATGTTGTTAAGAAAACACGGGCATACATGAGATATAATGACACATTTGGGCTACAAAGGCCTACAAAATTCACCATGAAGAGATCTACCTGTGTTCATCTCATGTGACAAGTGGAATGCAGATGCCTTCCCTCTTACCATGCATAGTAAAAACTGTGAGGCACTTGTAGCACTAACCTAAATGGAAGGCATGGGACAGCCCTGAAAACTGCAGGAGTACATAGAACTTACTTTAGCTTTCCTGGTTAAAACTAGATATGCAGATTTAAATGTTTTAACATGGTTTTGGTAAGACTTTAAATATCAGAGCTCAAGTTAGATTCAGCTTTGCTGCATTATTGTGTTTTTAAAGGCAAATTTAAATAGTGGGTTGTTTGGGTTTTGTTTGTTTTTTTGTTTTTACATACTTGCTTTTCATGAGACTTGGAAAACGAAGGTTTTATACATAGGAGCCAAAATTTATGAGAGACGGAGTTTAAGATCTATAACCATCATATATGCTATGCTCACATGAAAAGAAAGGTGAGGCTTGACCCCATGCAAATAATCCTGCCATGTATCTGAAAACACTAGCAGTTATCAGGCTGGTTTTCAAGGAAGTAGACATTTGGAGCAATGATTTTGAGCTTTTAGTCATCCAGAGAAGACTGGCCACTAGAAGAATAGAACTAAGGTTCTATCGTAGAAAGTGGTGTGTCAAACTGTACATAGACAGATCCTAATGTCTCCAGCTTAAGTCTCTGAGCAGTTGTATTTGTTGAGAGTAAATATTAAACTTTTGAATAGTCTGATTTTTATGAGCATAACAGCTTCAACTTTTGCAGCCTTTAATTACTCCCAGATATAAAAAGCTCCTAAAATACTTATTTAGCATGACTTGCATCTGTTAACTAAAAGTGAAAAACACTATAAAACCCACAAATTGTGCTCAAGATGATTTGTAGTCGAGAAAGTGTATGGTAATAAAGAAGCTAATTGGAGAAGCCAAATATACGCAGGTTTAAATCAATTCATTTTCCATAATGAGAAATACAGGAGGGCTTTCCATCCGAGTTGCTAACAAAGACAATTTTAAATAGTCCTTTCTTACAGTAATAGCAGTTAAACCTACTTAGCTCTTTTCAGTTCCCATGGGATGAATATTGACTGAATAGCTACAGCTGAGGCTGAATAATTTCAGTCTCTATACAAAAAGTTTCCTGTAGAATTATGTCATTAAGACAGAACTTACTGTATGTAACATACTTATATAATTCAACTGGGCTTAATGGCTTCTACCTACTTCATTTTATCCACTTTTCCTTCATATTTGGAACTGCATAAATGTTTTGTCACAGAAGGTTATGAAACAGATGACAAATAGAACATAATATTTTCATTTATACACAAAGATACTGACTTAATGGTAAAACTACAGGAAACATCCAGATGTCTAGGAAGAATCAAGAAGTCTTTTAAAGAAAACTTTTCTATTTAAATTCCATGTCTTATACATGGTGACAAAAGTATATTTTTGAAACCTATCCAAATCTCAAGTATGTTTGTCTCTCACTCTGCCCTCCTCTGAGCAAATGAGCGAATTTTATACATATCTACAGTATTTAATAAAGATGTCTAAATCAGTCAAATTTTTTACATAAATGTTTCAGCACTTAAAATAAAGAGAAACACTTAATTTGTTACACTCAGACAGCAAAATGAAATGGATACATAACAATCTTGTGAAGAAAGAATGCATTAAACCATATCTCTCTGTGGGGAAAGGCAGCATCTTAATATTATGATTTAACAAAGACAAGTTTAATTCAAGCATTTAACAACTTTGTTCTTATTTAAAAGCTTAAATGTTTGCCAGTTAATCATACCTGACTGATAATTAATCAGTACTTCTTTTGGCGTCTGATTTAGTATTTTGCTTAACAAAATATCAGAAGTTATTCAATAGGGTTTTCTATAAACTCTTTGGCTACATACATTAAGGAAGTTAAATACATGTGAAAGCTATAGGTACCTTAAAAATAGTACACATTTACAGATTATACAGGGATCAGAGTGCAAAGGTGAGGAAAGAGTTATTATCAGGGTCTAAGTTACTTACAACATCCATTTTTACATCCAAAACAGAAGGCTGTAGATAAAAAGTTTGAGATTCTTAGGTTTAGAAATCTCCTTGCAGAGCTTCTTGACCACCTAAAATGGCCCCAAACTAAACTGCTGCTTCATGTAATAATGTTATCAGTTTTAATTATGACATATAACCTGCAGTGTCTGTCTCCTCTTTATTTTTTTCTCTTGAAGAATGTAGAAGTTCAGGAACTGCTCATAAAGAACAGAAACACTGGTTGTATTCCCATATGGAATTATAACAATTTTAGATTCTTTTATGTCTTTTGAAGATATTTCATAAGCAAAATATGAAAGCAGAAATCCACATCAGTCCTCAGAAAAAGCTTAGTGTTGTAGTGATTTTGTGAAAATGCTTAATTTTCTTCTTGCAGCATTTCTTCTATTTCTTTATCCCAGTTTTCATCACGCTTTTCTGATTCTGTTACCACCTCATACTCCTGAAGCTCTTGTTGCAATTCCTTTTCCCAGTCAGCTGTTTCTTCTACAAGAGATAAATAATGTGTAAGAATTAACTTGATAATATAGCATGTGGCTTATTTACATAAAAGCAGATGAATTTGCACTCAGTCTCTCTCATATTCCCTGAACTTCATGGACAATCCTCCTTAAAACCTGAAGAAACTTCAAGACCAGACATTTCATCATCTTACTGACCACTGACCACGAATAGGAATTAATTACTATACAACTCTGTATTCCTATGTGTGTACTATAATAAAGATACAAAAAGTAAATACGTAGCTTAGTTGAAACAAGCATCCCTTTGCAAGCTCATTTCCTACAGTCTTTCAGTTTACTGTCAACCAAATCTCCCTTTGTACTTTTAAATCCCCAGCAAAAATTTAATGAAGTTCCTAAGTTTGTTGGATATACTCTTACAGAGTAAAACAAAACAAAACTAAGACCCCAGACACAAGATCAATTACTATGGATAATTTAGAAAAAGCAGCAGGTATTAATTTTGCTGACATTTGTAACCAGGCAGGCTCATTTAATCAGTGTTAAAAGTAATCATATTTCATACTTCAGGGCAAAAAATGAGTCAGAAGGCATTAGTGTGTTGTCAATCTGTTTTAATTAGCTCTACCTATCATATGCAAGAGTACCGGGAAGGAGATGGGTGTTCGATGTGTTACATGTTGGTTAGTACTTCAGCCTAGATATGAAGGTACATAATTCCATAGTCCAAATCACTATGGCCAGCTGAGATTTTTCCAACACACTGCACATTAATGACTTACTGAAACACTTCCATCAAAAAGCTAGATGCAAGGAGCTGATACTACTTATTAGAATTCTGCAAGCTTGGCTACATATTGGAAAAAAAGCCCACAATTTCAGAAGACACGGATTCAGCAACATGCAAAACATTTTAAGATGCATTCTGAAAATTGTATTATGATAAATGTCTACACATACAAGTGTCTTCACAGTAAACTGTTCATTGTGTATGGCCAGAGCCACATTATCACAGATTGGTTTTATGCTTTTTACACTGATAATAGTTCCTCTGAGTTATTTTAAGTATAAGCCCCATTTTATTTCTTCTCATCATTCTCAAAGTTATTTCTTAAATTTTAACTTTTCAAAATGCATGAGAAACGTTTTACAGCAGAGGCATCTGCGAGCTCACAGTCTGGTGCAGATACTGCCCTTTTAGCTGGTGTAACAAGAAGAAAACATTGCCTGACTTTCAAATACTGTACTTTACCTACGGCATATCAATTAAAGAAAAAAAAATTTGTACACATGAAGACTTACGAAAGAGAAGGCAGGGAAAGGAGGAGGTAGACAGAAAAAAAGATATTCCACTGTCAGTTTCATAAAAGAGCCTTTTATGAACATTTTAACAACATTCTTTGGATTTAAATTCCTCACAGCTAGCATTCTGTATAAGACATGGTTCAACCGTGGTGAGAATTAGCATTAACTTCTGCAATATACTGCAGGTCATTTCATTCACTTTGAAAAGGGTAAAAAAAAAAATAAATCTACTTTCCTAAATTGAATTATTACATCAACCTGTCTTAGATTTTCTGTATTTAAGACACAGACCATAATAATAGCTTTACCTTCTACTACTGAAGTCTCTTCTTTCTTTTTGTCTAGCACCAGTTGTTCCATTTCTTTTCTTAGGTCTTCCTGATTCAGATTACAGGCATCAAAGGCATCGCTCACAAATTCTGATACACCTGGACTTGTGGAAATCTCTTCCTCATCCTGCAGAAAGACAGTTTTGTATAAGCTTATAAAAAAGGTGGAAAAAAAATGCCACCAATGCATGCTTTCACTTATGTGACTGACTGCCTTTTAGTTAGCAAAAAAAGCAAATCAAATGCATTACTTTTAAAGAAAACCAGCCCATAAAGTAGTTCTAAAAGTATTTCTGTACAGAGAGATATGTTAGATAGTTGTACCGAAAATGATCTGCTGTTCATCCTAGGCTCCTTTCTGTGTTCTCCTAACTTTAATTGTTTTTGTAATCTCCAGGAACAATAATAAACAGTACCTAAGACTAAATTTTGACTACAATTTAGTAACAGTTCTCTACACACAAGTAAGATTGAGAGGACTGTTCTTTGTAAATCTTTCTAGCTTAATTTAGTCCACTGCGTATTACTCACAAATGAACTAACAGCTCTGCTTCTGCCAAGAGTGTTTGCTGACACTGATTTTACAATTCAGAAACAAACAAGGGTCATTACGTATCTAAGTTAAAGGTTTTTGCAGCATCAAGCAAAACTCTTCTTGCCATTACAATAAAATAATGTTGCTACTACATTGTATCATTTAGCTTTCCTATAATTAAGCCTGACAACTGCTGAGGAGTTGGACAGAACATGGAACATGAATGCATTTTTATGAAGGCATTCCTCATGTCTAAATATGGTGCAAACCTACTCAAAATATTTTGGAAATATCACCCTTTCAGAGTGAAAACATGTTTTATTATAATGTGCAGGATACCACTGAAAGTATTACTCAGGATAAACCACTGTTTCTTCTTTTGAAAATGAGTTTAAAGTGTATGCTTTAAAAATTAGTATCACAGCAGAACAGCAGCAGGTTAGGACTGTCAGATATTGTATTACTATGGCTTCATAGCACAACTTGCTCAAACTCCCTGTTACCTATAAGTAAGTTTCACATACTAAATATCAGATAAAATATAACAGTATTTTTACCTCTTGAGATTTTATTTGAGGCTTTATCGTAACAGGCGGTGTTTTTGGCCGTACTGTTTCTATCAAGGGGGGAAAAAAAAAATAAGATAGATTACATTTAAATATTTAAAGATCTAATTTAATCTGCATAGTTATTAAATATACAAGACTATTTTTTAAGTTTTAAGGAATCTTGGTGGTTAAAGGCTGAATTCAGCCATAGATGAAGCATTTGCAAGAACAAAATGGAAGAGAAGCCATTTTCTATTCTTAAATAAGGCAAATTTAGCAAGCCATTTCCTCATTATGACTCTAAAGTTAAATCACAGGAACCCCCCTGCCCTCAAAACCATCCAAAGAACTAGGTAAATAGGAACAGTTGGGAATCTCAAAGAATGTCTTCTTTCAGGTAGAACACTTACAGTTTGCATCACATGTAACAAGATCTTTAAAGTTACAAACATGTAGACCTGGCCATGAAATCCAATTACTGCCTATCACATGAGTTCCCAAGCTCCCCTCGCTGGGTAGTACCACTGACATGAGCACTAGTTAGCTCTTGGGTATACCTCACTACATCTGCATGCACACCCCTAAATGCACACAAGAAGAAGTGTTCCTCAGCCTTACCTTCTTTCACACAGGCAAAGAAGTTACAAAAAAAAAAAAAACAAAACAAACCCAACAAAAACAAAACAACCCCAAAACCAAACCCTAGAAGCTGATCCCAGTTTCCTAAGAAAACTCACTGTGCATTCTGTATATAATAGCATAGTGCTAGGAAGACAATGATTCTTTACAAGCAAGGACAGATCTTTTTCTTGGCAGGTAAAGGAACACCCAGGTTTTTTTCTTCATGCAACTAGCAGGATAGAGGAGTCACAATAAAAAGCCAGGTGGCTGCAAGAACAATTAACATACAGGGAAGGTTGTGGTAGTGGTGGAGTGCTTGCTTAGCAGTTCTGTTTGTTTAAATATGCATAGCTGCTCTGAGCTTGTAGCTCTGCTTACTGCAATGCGCCCAGGTGGACCCTGCCTGCTTGCTCAGCAATTTCTGAAGGGGGCTTTTTTTTCAGGTTTTATTTTTAGAATCAAGATCAGGTCTAATTACAGTAATTCGCTAATTAGTAGCTGTCACTGCTTATACAGCTCATCTACTCAGTGCCCACTTTTGTTTCATACTCTCTTCCTTCCCTTCCTCTTCCCAGTCTTCAGAAGACCTGTTACTGCACCCAGCTCCACATCGACTGCAGCACTCCTAGTTCAGGGAGACTGTAGGCCATGGCACCAACTCTTTGCTGTTCAGCACCAAGTGCCCAAAGCACCATGCGAGAGAGGTGCTTCAAACTCCATCTGCTGCTCTTATGCAAAAGTGGCACAGCCATTCTTCTGGGGCCCATCAGACTGGGCCATGCACCAGTCTGATGTGACTAACATACCATTAGTTCTGTGCTGGATCTACTGACCTGGCATCATCTCCTCCACTGCTGATGTGCTCTCTGCCCCCGAGGTAACTCCACTGCCAAACAAATAGTTACTAATACCTGGAGAAGGCCTAGAACTTGGCATTTTGTTATCGATCTTACATAGTCTCTATACTAGAACATGGAAAGATCCATACGTCCCTTCTTTTTTCCTTTCATGTCAACCATACTAATTTTATTTTGTGAAAACAGCAGGTAAGGAGGCAACAGAGATAAAAATAGAAGGCAATTGATTCTATTTTATAGACAGTCAGCTTTAAGAAGAAACTCTGGACATTATGAAGAGTTACCAATAGGCAATCACTTGTTAACCTCCAGTTAGGGAACTGAACCTTCAAAAAGGTTCTTTAAATCAAAAATAACACTGATGATTCAGAGCTTCCCAAATCTATGCAATTTTCAAATCAGACAAAACATGCATTTACTACAGTCTGGTAAATGTCTGTCTGCCATTACAAAATATGCAGTCACTAGGACAGTAAATCTATCTGCATATCCTGTACTGGTCTTCTGAATTTTAAAACATCTGCAAGAGGTCAAAAGATAGTGCTGCCTTTTTTTTTTTTTTTTTTTTTTTATTTAGATGAAGGGACTTCTTGTTTTCAGCCACAATGGTAATTTTACTATTACCCAGCAACTTTATCTTCTACTGGCAATTTCCAAGGGTTTGGCTGTCTCAAGAACAAATTTTGTTGTTCAATAGGGTCAGGAGATTACGCTGCTCTATACTTACAGTTTAAGACTGCCCATTTAACTACCTATTTAGCTTGCACAAAGGAATCCCTAAGCACTGTAATTAATGACAGAGTAACTTTGATTTGATCTGGCAGTCAGCCACAACAGTAGCAGCTTGCTTTTCTGTTCTGAAATTGGTTTACTGAAGCTACGATATGCAGAAACAGAAAACAAAAAGCTCATTGGAAAGGGGAAGCAAACTGATAGCGAACAGACTTCGGAGTCTTATAAACAGTCAAGAAAGTATCTTCTGGCAGAATTTATGTTTCTAATCTTTCCAAATGCAACCTTTTCCTCTATACCTCCTTTCCTCTATTCCTCTAAATGAAAGGATCCGACCGACTTTCAAAAGTCTATTGAGAGGCACTACAGAAACCAGAGAAGACAGTCACTACTTTTAATAGTATATAATAAAATCCTATCAGTTGGTGTAATAAAAATACCCAGAGGAACAGAAATGAGGGAAAAAAAAAAAAGATTAAAAAAAAAAAACCCCAACAGTGAAGAAATATAAAAAGGAAAGAAAATTAGATAAATGCATTTAGATTCCATTTAGGTGCAAAAGTTTATGAAATTCTGAGAATTCTGGTGATTTGTTGAGTTGATACCACCTGTATAGGCTAACAGTGAACATAATCTGCTCACAGAAAATGACAAAAATGGGAGCCGAATATGGTGGGAGTGTACAAATAACATGAGTAAGTAGGTATTTCCTGTATTTCCTACAGGTAAGTAGGAAATGAGGCCAAATACAGCCTGCACAGAAAACTAAAGACAAAAGCATTCTGTTATGATTAAAGAGTTAGCGTAGGACATTTAAGGGTAGCTCTTTTACATGAGGTATAAAAATTAAGTCTCAGCTTCCGCAGCTGGTTAGTCGTTTCTCCATAGGTATCACATTTTCTCTATTACTGTTCTGTTTCTATGGTGAGAAGAACATGCTTATAAAGCTATGAAAACAGTAAGAAAATTCACTATCAATGTAATTCTCAACTTCACTTTTTAACCTGCACATATTTTAAATCAAAGATACAGACAAAAAACCCCAAACACAAGTTCTGTGCTCCTTTGCTTAAAGCAGTCTTTTGAAGCATACCAAGCAAAAGAATTACATCATTATAGTAAACGCCTAAGTCACTTTGGGCTATTTGTATACTGTCTTTGTCAATCTTTGCAGAGAGGGAATGCTGCTCCCAACTTACTCTCTTCAAAGGCTAGCATCCTCTTGAGTGCACATGGCATGTGGTCACTTGGCACAGATTTGCCTAGATCTCATAAAATCACAGAATAGTTAGGGTTGGAAAGGACCTTAAGATCATCTAGTTCCAACCCCCCTGCCATGGGCAGGGACACCTTGCACTAAACCATGTCACCCAAAACTCCATCCAACCTGGCCTTGAACACTGCCAGGGTTGAAGCATTCACAACTTCCTTGGGCAACCCATTCCAGTGCCTCACCACCCTCACTATAAAGAACTTCTTCCTTATATCTAATCTAAACTTCCCCTGTTTAAGTTTAAACCCATTACCCCTTGTCCTACCACTACAGTCCCTAACGAAGAGTCCCTCCCCAGAATCCTTGTAGGCCCCCTTCAGATACCGAAAGGCTGTTCTGAGGTCTCCACGCAGCCTTCTCTTCTCCAGGCTGAACAGCCCCAACTTTCTCAGCCTGTCTTCATAAGGGAGATGCTCCAGCCCCCTCATCATCCTCGTGGCCCTCCTCTGGACTTGCTCCAACAGCTCCATGTTCTTTTTATGTTGAGGACACCAGAACTGAACACAATACTCCAAGTGAGGTCTCATGAGAGCAGAGTAGAGGGGCAGGATCACCTCCTTTGACCTGCTGGTCACGCTTCTTTTGATGCGGCCCAGGATACAGTTGGCTTTCTGGGCTGCAAGCGCATGTAATATGTAGTATGATCACATAAGGACATGTTTTTTTTAAGCTTACAAAGCCTGAAATAGCACAAGTAGTGTTTCTGTGATTGACAGCATGCTGCTCAACATGGGGACATGTTGCCATGTTTGACTGTATACAGTCCATTGGGACAGCAGACAGTTGTCCTGGATAAAAGAAGTCAGAAATGGTGCTTCTTGGTCTGCAGTAGATTCTGGAGTGGTCTGTCCTGTCAGCATTGCTTGCAATATTACCTTTTTCGTTCTTGATAGGGATCTTGTCTCAAGAAGAAAAATACCAATATGAAAAGATATATTTGAAAGGGGAAAAAAAATTAATAGTGATCAGTTTGCTGTCAGTCAGGCCAGCAGTGTCAACGTGACTTAAACATTAACTGTTTCATGGATGATGACAAATTTTTGATGTAGGGGATACGAGAATCTATTCCAAGGTGCAGCAAAGGCTTTCCCCTTCTGCCTACCCAGCCTGCCAAGATTCTTCAGGTGTGTAACCAGGGGTGGTGAGCATACCTAGCTTAAGCTAAGATTTAATGAGCTACTGGTTACTTTTTGTGTCTTTGTCAATAACTGCTTTATACTCTTTAAGCCGCATATACTCTTGCTTGCAGAATTTGTTCACATGCAGATAAGATGACAACTGGTTCTTAAGTAGGTCAGTAAAAATCATCTCTATAAACTGATAAATTAACGGAAGACACTTACGTTGAAGTAGCTTTTCCACCCCAAGGTTGAATCCCAGGTAGCCTCCTCGTCTTCATCTGCCTTCATTTCTATAATACACTGTGGAACTTTCTACATCCTGTAATCGTCTCTGCCTCCACTACCATGACATTTCTGCCCGCGTATCACTCATTAACTTCTGTTTAGCCTGAGGTCTAAGCAAAAGCTAAGAGCAAACCGTGTGCCAGCTGGCGGGGTTGGCTCGTACCCGTTGTCTGACCAGATGAACCAAAGGTACCTCCTACTACTTTTTGACACGTCAAACAAAGCACACCAGAGACCACTAGGGCTGCTACAAGTCATGTACAAAATTTTATCTCTTGAGATTTCCACTCTTCTGACAAAGTTGGCTGAAACTGGAAAACAGTTTATAAACACTAGGAGCCTCCTCTTCTCCACTCTGGACAAACACACTGAGTACAGCAAGAGAAGCCCTGATTTAGTAAGAAACCCAGGACAAAAATTCGATGTCACCTGATGTACACCATCAGTATGCCTGGCACTAACTTAATGAGCTGTGCTGAAACAAATCCTTTCCATACCTTTCAGTTGACTATCCTCTTCTCTGCCTTTGCTCTCTTCTTTTCCTACTGCTTGCTGTTGAGCTGCAAGTGCAGTGAGTTGTGCAGACTGTTTAATTAGAGACACCCTGTAGAAATAATTTCTCCAGAACACCTCCTCCTTTACGCTAGAGAGAACAAACAAATTTTGATTACTACGTTTGGAAATACCGTTCCTTTCAACATCTAGCAATGAAATAAAATTGAATTTGCAGAGGGAAGAAGTAGACATAGCTGCCATTTAAGTAAAAACTTTAAAAAGAAATTTGTAATATTAACACAGTTTTAAAGAAATCTATCATTGTAGAAGTTCTTGATCTCTTACAAGACAGTTACAATTGACTTGAACATATAATAATGTTATGACCTTAGAGAAGCTTAACAGCATGCTGCAATACATAATCTGGAAAAATTCTCTCTCTTGTCAAATTATGTGGGAAGTCAAGTTACCTTCCTGCCCATTCAGACAAATAGTGACTACCGAGACTAAGAGGAAAAAAATCTATTAAGCAATGTAGAATAGGCAAGGACAGCATGACGAGAGGCTGAAGACAGAGCATCAGAGACAGACATGATGAAGACCTAGAACATTTAGGACTGTCAGCAGCAAGTAACAGCGGGGAAGGGGGTAAATAATATGAGGAGCTGGGAAGGTTCATATAAAAGTGGGAGACTTAAGACAGAAAAGCTCACAAAGAAGATGTTTTCCTTCCTGTTTCCATCCTTAGACAAGGAGTCTAATGTTGGGAACTCCTACTTAACAAGAATGTTGACCTGTGAAACAAGCTTTAGGAGCATCTGGAACTGGACAAGGAAGGAGAACAGCACTTCAATAAAGCTGGGATCAAAAAGCCATAGTGGAACAGGCCATAACTGCTGAGACAAAGGCCTTATGGATCTTTTAGTCAGGTCCACTAGAAGGAAGGCAGTTGCAACACAGAGCTTTTCCCACTGCCTATTCAAAAACAGGTTTTCTTACTTGCATTACAACTGGTTTGTGATGCATTCTTTTACCATTCCTCCAGGGTTACCTCTGACCCTCTCTAATAACCTTTTTGGGGTGTCAGTTACACCAACAGATCTAAGTATTTTTGTTGCTGCATTTACCACGGTTTTGGGAAAAAGATTCTCAATTAATTTAGCACACTGAACACAGAAAAATTTCAGGTCTCTCCCATTCTTAAGTCAACAGGTCCTTATTAGTTTTGAATGCCTAATGGATTTACTTTTGTTCTTTCCTCCAACTGCTAAACCACAATGCACGTGCAATACTTCATGCATTTTAAATTAGGAGATATGAAATACATACAGAGGAAGGACATAAAGAATTGGAGGAAGTGAAAATAACAAGGAGCAATTTATGAATATATACAGACACATCAGAAGTAGAAGGATACATAGTTGCAGGGGCTGGAGCACCGCTCTGAAGACAGGCTGAGACAGCTAGGGTTGTTCAGCCTGGAGAAGGCTCCAAGGAGACCTTACAGCAGCATTCCAGTAACTGAAGAGTAAAGTAATTACAATAAATCTGGAGGGACTTTTTACAAGGGCATGTAGCAATAGGATAAGGAGGAATGACTTTAAAGTGAACATGGGTGGATTCAGATTAGATATTAGGAAGAAGTCTTAACTGTGAAGGTGGTGAGACACTGGCACAGGTTGCCCAGAGAAGCTCCATCCCTGGCAGTGTTCAAGGCCAGGCTGGATGGGGCTTCGAGCAACCTGGTCTAGTGGAAGCTGTCTTTGCCTACGGCAGGGGGATTGGAACTAGACGATCTTTAAGGTCCCTTCCAACCACAACTGTTCTATCATTCTATGCTAGTAACCAGCAGAAATTACTTACTGTTTGGGAACGAGGTCAAACCTCATCCTGTTGAGAAGTTCATCTTCCTGTAACATCACCATTGCAACAGGGTACATTTGATCAAAGTCAAAATTAAACTGCACACCTGCTGGAGGATCCCGCAGAAAATTTCTTTTATCCTTTGAAGAATATATTTATGGTCATTAACTGATTATCAGAAAAAGGATATTATATTTCACACACAACACCAGCAATGCAACCCCAGTTTCCACATAATTCTATCATAACACAAAGCTGCAAAATTTTTGTTATTGGCTTTAATACTGACCCCAGTAATACTGGGGATCTCCTTTGGCTCAAGTTGATATTGAAAGAACTATTCAGTCTTGCACATGATCAGTGCAGTGACAGACACATTAAAAAAGGATATTGAAAATAAGTAATTTAATGCCAGCCAAATTTACTTTGAGGGAAAAAGAAAAAAGAAAGAAAGAAAAAGGAGGAAGTTTTAATTTCTCCATTAGGAAAACTTTAAATCTTACAGGAAATGAAATACTTACGGCTGATAAGGCCAGTATTTGTTGTTGAATTGTCTCTTCTTCATTGCTATCTACCCAGGGAGGTACTGCTGCTTCTGTTATTGAAAGAAGGAAAATAACTGCATATGTATTACTTAAACAAACAGAACCCACCTTAATGTAACATAATACATAACAAAAATAAGCCATCATTTAATTTTCCTAAACTAAGCACATGGGACATGAGAGAAACTCTAGGAATGGATTTTTGCTTATCAGAAGTAAATTAACTAACTAACTACATAAATAATTGCCAATTTCTGTTATTGTAAAACTGTGGGCATTTCTTTGCAGTGTGCACCACTCAACTTGGTACCTCTTAGTTACTAAAGTAGTGCTGTAAAACTGGTTAAGCTGCCTGCAAATACAGATATCTAGATTCACTTTAAATGTGTTAACTTCGTCTAAATTAAGTTTTAAAAATAATTTGCTATTGTGTTAATTTTCTAACACCCAGAAGACACCAATTCTTTAATGATGGAGAAAATAAGTTATAAATTTGTTATAAATTACGTTATACACTGAATAAACATACTTGAGGCCAGCTGATTTATATATTTACACAGATACTTCCAAAATAGTTCTACAGGCTATACACAGAGGAAAGTAAACTATTGCAGATGTATTGAAATCCTCTAGTCTCTTCACTGTCAATGCAAATTCAGCCTACAGAGACATTATGATGCATCTGTAACAGTTAATTCTTATGGACTTTAACTAACACTGCTTATTTGGCTATGCATCTGACATCAGCAAGATCTTTCACCCACATGGATTCCCACCTGATGCTAATGCTTCTTTCAGTAAGCCATCTGTTACTCTTTCTTCTGCCAATCTAGCTACCTGTTTTCATAAAACTTTTAGAAATCTATTAACAGATAACAAAGTTTACTAACAGAGACAAAAAGACATAAATACAGACAAGTGCAATCACATAAGCAATCTTGCAGGAAGAAACCAGACTAAAATATTAACTGTGAACAGTATGTAAAATTTTAGAACAATCCATTTAAAACTAGGTCATTTGCAAGATTAACAGTAGAGCCACTAATTACTCAAACTGTAAGAAATTACTGCATCCATGTAACACGTTAAAGGAGATAAAAGCCAATGATGAAATGCAATGTAAAAAAAAAAAAAAAAAAAAAGTGTGCTTATTTTAAAGCCTCAAATAGATCCACTGCAGTCAATAGTACATGGGTGGATAACTCAAAGGATTTAGATCACAGATAATTATAAAGCAAATGATTTATGGGAATGCAAAAGAGCAATTATGCCTTTAATGTGAGCAGAGCAACACCTACAGCAAAACTAATTAAATACAGTAGTGCAAACCCTAACCCATGCTTTTAATTTCATTATGAAAATGTGACATGATTGCTAAAGCTCAAAAGAGAAATAATCAGCATGCCTGTTTTCAATAAATACACTGGCTTAAAACTCAAAACAACAATAAGAAACCAGCTCTGCTAGCACAGTGATCTTTTGAGCACAGAGACCAAATGAGAAAGCTGATTTTCATTAAAAAAAGCAAATCTAAATCAACTAGATAATGTAACATTAACCTCACTTAAAAATGTCATCTTCCTATTCCATAATATACCTTAAGTTCTGCCATAATGTGTTTCATTAAACAGAGTTTTGATAGATTAGGTTTAGATATTGCTTAATTATCCAGCTTCCAGCAAGTTTTAACGTATGCAATGTTTACAAAAAAAAGCATACATTACCTGATTTTTTTGTTTGCTGCTCTTGGACAAATTTTTTCTGTTCCTTCTGAAAATCTCCAATAATTGTCTGAAATAAAAATTAGGGAACCACAATTAAAAAAAATTAATTCACTCCTCTTGTTTCATGTTCACTCAGAAAGTGCTTTCAAATATACTTCAGGATCATGCTCTTATATCCCTGGGGGCCCTTTTTCTAAGTTAATTAGAGGTGTTCCGCATAAATTATACATTCCCCTTTACTAAAACATTTGATTTTGCCTTTAAAAGTTTAAACTATTGCGTATGCTTTCAAAATTTTTAGTTAGTATTTATAGTTTAACAACTTCAGGGAATGAAAAAAATAAGGGAGGGAGGAAAATCCTACCTGATAATTTGAACATATACTGTGCATATACACTTACTGCCTTACCGTATCAAATACGGACAACATAGACTGTTTAGACTTAAAGATACTCTTTGCCTTACAATAAAATTTAAGAGTTGCTGAAGAAATATACCCATTGCAAGAAATCGGACTTGTAAAATTGTTCAGTGTGATTTTTAGAATGTCTGCTTGGCTGAAATAATTTCTCCATTTCTATTGACGCCAAGTTTTCATCAAAAAATTATGTTCAGAAACATCCTGTATTGAATTTGGAATTAAAAATGGAAGAATTATCTCAGAAGTCAGCATACCAAAACCTAGTAGTAACAGTGCAAATGTTATTCTGTAGTTGAAAGCAAAAACCAGAAAGAAACCATGAAGCTAGAAATGAATACTTAAACAACTCACAAAAATCAGATTTTATAGAGTGAGGTCTGTGGCTTAACAAGTTGCCAAAAAGCACACAGGTCTTCAAGCTAAATCCCGATAAATTCCTATAATTATTTTTTCCTTCAACATCACAGCATTTCAGTTTAACAGCAGCGAGAGATGCCTTAAAGAAATGTTATCACATGCCAGATTTGCCATGTTACAACAGTAAGCAAACGTATTTTAGATCAGATGTCTAGAAATAAAATACCTTATCAATGATACTATCGATCTTTCCTTCTTCTACAGACTTCTTTATTGTCTGTGCTGTTTCAGCAACAGATTCAGATATCTTTTTTGTAGCAGCAGTGGCAAAATTGAAGAGATAACCTTTAACAGACAAGAAGAGAAAGATGTGAAAAAATTATCCCTTTACATGCAGTTCTCTTACTAGATTTATTTTCCTTTCCCTTTAATCATTTGGACACCTACTTGAAAGCTGTGTTCAAAATCATTTAATACAGCTTCTGACCTCCAAGGAACTCCTAAAATCCTATTTATCCTCTTCTAGTTCATATTCTTTAGTGATGATCAAACTGTATGCTTGATCACAGCTTTCTGTAAATCAAACTTTTACACATGAATCTTGTTTACCAAATTAACGGTCCTTGAAATACTGCTTTCCAATGAATTTTCTGAAGCAATGTGTCTTTCCTAATTTCATTTAAGTATTTCAGAGACATTAAGCAGGAAAGTAACTTTAACAGCAGTATTAAAACTGGTGAGTGTGTTTCTTTTCAAGAAAATCAACATGCACAATGAAGTCTCCTGGAGCAAGACAGCAAACGCATGAAAAATTTCAGGCAAGTAACACTTGAGATTCCTTCGAAAGTCTTAAGATAGAAGCTTGCTTCTGTTGTTTACCCTTTTCTATTTCACATTGCTTTCCTCTTTTTAGTCTCCTTGAAAAGCACTATAGCCCTGTTGGCTTACTTTTCTGAATATGTTCAGTGTCAGAACAGCAGTAACAAGTATTTCCAAAGACTAACCAGCATTTCTTCGTATTAGCAGTTCTAAAGTAAAGAAAGGTGGCAGGGAGAGAACGATGTGGCATAGGCAGTTACAAGGATCAAGATGTATATTACAAACCTTCAGAAACATTAAATATCAGTTTATTGACAAAGGATCTTAAAACAACATTGGTATTATTTCCTCAGGTATTAAGACTTAAGATCACAGGTACAGTGTAAACAATGATAAAATATTGGTGAGTGCCATAGTAAATAAAATAATTACAGATGGATCTAGGTAGATTGGAGCATTGGGGAGTCATCAACAGCATGAATTCTAACAAGTTGAAATGCTGGATTCTGCACTGGGAACAGAGTAATGCCAGACGCAAGTATATATGGGGAGAGGAGAGGGTGGAGAGGAGCCCTGCAGAAAGGGATCTTGGGGGTGCTAGTTGACAGCAGGCTTAATCCGAGTCAGCAGTGTGCCCTGGCAGCCATGAGGGCAAACTGCACCTGGGGTGCATAAACACAGTATAACTAGCTGGCCAAGAGAGGTGACTGTTCTGATGAATTCATCCTGATGTACTCAAGATGTGTAGCCTCACCTTGATTACTGCGTGCAGTTCTGGGCCCCATAGCTTAAGAAGGATGTGAAGGTCCCTGAATGTGTCCAGAGGAGGGCAAGAAAGCTGGTGTAAGGGCTGGAAGGAATGTCCGATGAGGAATGTCTGAAGACTTTGGGGTTGTCTGGTTTGGAGAAAAGGAGGCAGAGAGGTGACCTCACTGCTCCCTAAGGAGGGGAAGCAGAAAGATCTACTTATCTCATCTCCCTGGTAGCCAGGGCTTGGACACCTGGAAGTGGTTCAAAGCTGCACCAGGGAGGTTCAGACTGGACATTAGGAAGCATTTATTTGCTGCGAGGGTGAAGAAACCCCAGAACAGCCTTCCTAGGGAAGTGGTCAATGCCCCAAGCCTGTCAAGTGTTTAAAAGGCATTTGGACAATGCCCTTAATAACACACTTTAACTTTTGGTCAGCCCTGAATTAGTCAGGTAGTTGGACTAGATGTGGAAGAGACCTAGACGAAAGGGACCATCTAGGTTCCTTCCACTTTCAAGGGACCAAGAAACAGTCTGTTCTATTCTAATTCTGTGGTTAGAAGTAGGAATGGTAGTCTAAACTGCATAGTAACTATGAAAAATATTTGAGGTGTTGGTAAGAATGAAAAGCACATGAGATGGTAAAAACGTTTTAGTTATTCCCAAAATTTTACTTTGACCTTTATACAGGGGACTTTAGAAAACCCTCAGTATTTCTGTTTCAAACAAAATCCCCCAACTTCCTTCTCAAGACCTCACAAAGATTCTACTTTCCTTATGAGTTAGAAATGTAAGAAATAACCCTGACATGCAAAAAAATGAGTTATTTTAAAATGCAGTTGTTAGCCACTGATAGAATGAGTTACTTCAGAGCATTCATGTCACCTTTTGGAAACCTGATTGTTATTTCTGGCATATAAAATATTCTCTCATTATGATACCACCTCTGATATCAATACTGAAATATGCAGAGGTCTAGCCAGCCCTTAAGCAAGCCATTCCTACGTGTAATTTCTACCTATAAGCCACAGAAAGGTGGCAATCAAACTTCCTTCAAGTACTTGCTAGCATCTTTCATACCCATTATCAGGCTTTACAACCCATCACATGCTTCATGTTGCAAAAATACCCGCCTATCTTCTACACTTTAGATATAGATGCATATACTATTCTCCTTGTGACAGCAGAGGAAGCAGCAGCCTACTGTATTGTTTTCTCCCTACTAGCTTGTATTGGTTGTTTCCTGTATCCCTGTAAACTCCCTCATATGCAATTGCTTTAGATGCAAACGGTGCTGAAGCATTTACTGTCCAGCAATGATTTGATATCGCTGGGCAAGTGGTTTTAGCCAGTCCTGGAACCAGCTGGAAAAACAAAATGCTTTTTATTTCCATTAAGGGCAAATTTTCTTCTGAATTAAAGTACTTCTAAAACTTCAATAAAAATTGGTACTTTGCCTTAGAAAAACAGAATTAGTGGTAAACAACACTTCCACTTTCAAGGGACCAAGAAACTTTCTCTCCCTCTTACAGATCTATGCCCATATTAAGAACATGTATCTAGCAACATTTCGAGTATTAGTTCACACTGACAAGCTCTCCTAACCTTTGTAATGATGTAATAATGTGAGGGGGGGATAAAAGCACGTAAGACTTCAGTTTTACCAGTAAAATTCCTTATGTGCTAAGGGAGCCTCTCCACACAGCTACCCTCGTTGTTAACGATGCAGATATTTCTAGAGTTATCATGTGTTAAAACAATGACGTGCAAATCCTTATAGAAAAAGCCTTTTCACCACAATCTTCTCCAATGTCACAGACAATGAATCACTAAACCAAATTCTCACTTCCAGAGCAAATTATGGGCTGCACCTTTCCACGTGTAACAGTCAATACTTATTTTTCCTCTGAAATTCAGCTTCTTTTTTCCTTCCTGAACAGTCAGCGACTACCAGATTAGGATTGCTTTACAACAACTGGACAAGTATGTGACCAAACTACACAGATAAACTCCTGCAGCTTGGACAGTCCAAGGCAAAGCACGGTGAAGAACCATATCAGACTAACCTTTCAGATGAGATTGATCCAGCATTTCAGAGCACCAGTAAAAAAAAGACACTCTACCAAGGAGTGTGGAGCTGTACTTTGGATTAATTTTATCTAAGAATCTACCATAGTAAAGTAGAATTCTTACCTATAGCAAATCACAGCCTTGCCTCATTACAGATGAGTTCAACAAAATCAAACCCTATTCCTTTCCTACTAAAAAAAAAAAAAAAATCACAGAAACCCCACACCAATTTGTGAGGTACATTATATATGTACATGACTTCTCCCAGTGATAAACGTTGTTCATTTAGTAACAATTCTGAAAAAGATGGTAATTGAAATGAACATTTGCAGTCATTTACTTGGGTTATATTTTAAACACTGAAGGTTTTTGTTTGTTTAGTTTTTTCTTTTTTTAAATGTTTTTTGATTTGTAGTGAGGCAACATTCCTTACCAGTGCACAGAATTGTGCACAGTAAAGTATTTCTCACTGCCAGTAACTGCTATTTAAAACAAATCTCTGAAATACAGAAAAATTATGAAATTAGAGAATTATGTCACTTCCAAAGTTCCAGCTTTATCAACTGCATATGACTGTTTCTTAACTGTGGCAGAGACTACAAAGCTGCATGAAAAACTCCATCTTGTGAAATACATGGTAGTTATGCATGCCACAGACTGCATTTAGCAGACATGATTTTAAAGGAGCTGCACAACAAAGAAAAATAGAAAAGGACAGGAAACAACGACTTTTAAAACTTTTTGCCAAGACAGCTTTCCATACTAACTAACCTACCCCGAATTATCATTTACATCTTAAAAGATATACTTCAGGGATATTTTTCTTCTTTTTTTTTTTCTTTTTCCCTTTTTAAAGAAAAAGTCTCTAGGTTCCTTCATAAACTTGTGTTCTCTGCTTTGCATCTCTGTGCAAGCTATGCTGGAGTTGCTGCTATCTAGATGAAAAGCAATTTCCATTTGTTGAATTGAGAATAAACATGCTTAACTCATCTGAAAACCTATATGTAATTGTTTAGCTCAGCTAAAGCTTTGGTGTAAATGCCAGTGGTAAATACTAGTAACTTCTCCTCTAACCTGTAAGCATACATAAATCCGGCCTATCTTCCCTCCTCCAGCTGCTATCCTATGCTACTCTCACCACACGACAGGACCTTACTGCTAAGAATATATAGCTTCTTTTTCAAACCAGACCCGAAGCAGCACTCCCCGCGTGAAGACGCCTGGGCGCGACACACCTCTCCAACAAGTGAGGCCATTCTTTCATTCAAGCTTTCTCTTTGGATCAAAGCCCACAACAGCCACGTGTGTGTGAGGGGAAGGAGCCCCAATCCTCACCGCTGCGGCCCGTCCCGGGGGCTCTCCAC